AAAATCTTAAAAATACCGAATATAGCCGTTATATTGGGGTCTATACGACGTGGACCTACATAGGCATTGTTGTCATAAGCCATTACCATATTCAAATTCGAAACTTGAAATAAACGGTGAATAATTTAGCTAAAATCATCAAAATACCGTACATAGGGAGGTATCGTTACATCGGAGCTATACGAAGATCTGGACTTGCATAGACAATTTTCTATTACAGTCTGAAGAATCCATTATGAACTTCAAATATGACAAATGAAAATTTCGGTGAGTATTGTACCTAAAATCGTCAAAATACCGAATATATGGAGGTACTGATATATGGGGCCTATACGAAGACCTGGACCTGTATAGACAACTTTCTGTCTTAGGCTGTAGTACCTCTTAGGGACTTCAAATATGACTGTTATGGGGGGACTATACGAAGACGTGGACCTACACAGCCAATTTTCTGTCTAAGGCTGTAGTATCCCTTTGGAACTTCAAATACCAAACTAGAATAATGCCGATAAAATCATCAAAAGACCGAATATCGGCAGGTACTTATATATTGGGCTATATGAAAACGTGGACCTACATGGCCCATTTACGAACTTAACCTGCCTACTGAAAAATTTAACACGTGTGCAAAATTTTAGCCTTCTATTTCAATTCATTCGAAAGACGGACATGGCTAAATCGACTTAGAATTTTACGCTTATCTCGAAAATATATTTACTTTTTGGGTCTTACATGAGTATTTCGAGGAGTTACAAACGGAATGACAAAGTTAATATACCCTCCATACTATGGTGGGGGGTATAAAAACAATTTGGTTTACGATTTCCTGCAAAAGTCCATCAGAAATCTTAATATATTCAGGGCTGTCATAGAAACCAATTTTGTCACTATTGGTTTTAAAAACGACAAGAAAAAATGTTATTTGAAATAAACCAAGTTGCTTAGAGCTGTCACTTTTCATTTGCTTTGGATTTTTTAAACAATTTTTAAAGGATATTCAAAGGACTAAAAATGTGGGTTTTTTAAAGAATTTTTAAAGGACTATAGTCGTGGATTTTTTAAAGAATTTTTAAAGGACTATAGACGTGTATTTTTTAAAGACTTTAAAGGAAAAAAAAACGTGGATTTTTTAAAGATTTTTTAGAGAATATTTAAAGGACCATAAACGTGTATTTTTTAAGGATTTTTAAAGAATTTTTAAAGGACCATAAACGTGGATTTTTTAAAGAATTTTTAAAGGACAATAAACGTGGACTTTTTCAGGATTTTTTAAAGAATTTTTAAAGGACCATAAACGTGGACTTTTTAAGGATTTTTTAAAGAATTTTTAAAGGACCATAAACGTGGACTTTTTCAGGATTTTTTAAAGAATTTTTAAAGGACCATAAACGTGGACTTTTTAAGGATTTTTTAAAGAATTTTTAAAGGACCATAAACCATAAATCTGCAAAGCAGCTTTATAAGTAAATTCACAATAAAAAAATTAACTTACGCTACCTCCGGCAACTCCAGTGGGTTGCTGAAATCTCTAAGAGCTTTTCTCGTCACCATTTCTGAGCGTTCTTCGTCCAACAACACAAAAACTACCACTGCTGATGCCATCTTACTTTATTTATAGCGACTTATTCCTTTTTCTATTTACTTTACTTTTACTGATATTTCAATGACAAATAAACAAAAAACACATGTAAGCAACAACAGATGTTTCGATCATTGGTTTTATTTACATTCGAAATTGACAAAACCAACTTGGTTTCATGACACCAAATGAAACCAATATTGGTTTACAAAAACGACAATAAGCAAAAACGAAATGGTTTCTGTGGCAGCCCTGATTCATTTGCAAAAGTCGATTTTGACTTTTGAACTCTTTTACACCAAGAGTAGACTTTGTATTTCTATAGTTTACATACCAAAAAACCTTAAGAAATCTTCCTTCCTTGGGCTCTATGAACTATTTTTTTAAAGGCCTATAAGAAAGTTTCGGAAGCTCCTTACATATGACTCTAACATAATGTGTAATTGGACCTTGAATTCAAACAAATTAAAAAGCCAACGTTCGATTATTAAAATATATTTTTATCTTTTGTTGTATATGATTATTCAAATTGTCGACCCTCTATACTGCAGATACCGAAGGAATGGACCAATATTGCCGATTTCGCATCGGACCAAAAAAAATATGATATAAATATTGCGACTTGCCAGATCTAGACTATATCGACTACTTTCTTCACTTTATATGAGATAAGTGATAGTTTTTAGAAAATGTTAAAATGTGCGTGAGGTACAAAATATACTTCGACCGAAGTATTCCCCTTTCACACTTCATCTAATACAGATAAAAACTTGGTATGGGCAAAATTACAAGAAAACCAAACATTAATACCCAATATTATGCGAAATCATAAGTTCCATATTCATCTCAGGTTTCAGGTTGAGAGAAATATTTAGATATAGCAAGTTTTAAAGTATTACTGACCAGTTTCGCAAGTTATGACAGATAAAAGTATTGAAACTTGTGACTCTTTGTGGATGAGGTACCAGAAGGGTTTCGCCGAAATATATCATCTTCACAATAGATATTCTGTTAGTAAAAATGTTTGGATGTGTGAAATTTAAAGTGAGTTGGATACTTATTTCGCTTTCTTTGAGCGTTTTGTTTTTTCAAAATCTTGAACCCTATGCTTGTTGTATTTTGACTATTTGTGAGGGAGGTACCAGAAGGAGTGGGCGATATGTCCCATTTTCACAGCACATATTTTCTTAGTAGAAACAATATGATGTGTGAAATATGAAGAGAACTGGATGCTTATTTTGGTTTTTATGATCGTTTTGGTTATTCAAAAATTTAATACTTTGTGGAGGGAGGTACCAGAAGGAATGGTCCGATCTCTAAGTTTGGATCATATTGGATAACCTCCGAGAGTTATCATGCGCACCTGCCAGACCGACCAACAGACGGGCGGACATCGCTAGATTAACTCCAAATGTCCTGAAACGGATATGGTTCCAAGAGACCTAGGGTCTAAAACCGTAATTTCGATGAGGCACTTTTTGGCCGTATCAAATGATATGTACCCTCTCTAGCCATATGTCTGAGGGTATAACAAGAGCGAAATAGTGGTCTAGATAAGTAGGAAATTAATTCTTAATTTTTCTTTTGAAGCATTCACACAATGCGAACATTTATAGATTGTGTTTGTGTGAAATTGCAATGTGCGAAAATAGGACAAACATTTGTTTATATTCTCAGAAATATTCAAAGGACTAAAACAGCTGATGAAAGTCGTGAATAATTACTCTATGTACGAAAGGCATAAATAAAAATGTTTCGCAAAAAAACGCTTCAGTACATTTTCAATTGGTTACTTTAGGTTCATTCGACGGTATTTCTGGCAAATACGAACAATGGTTCTTGAAAGCGGTATATGATTTCGTCAACAATTTTTGAACGCAATATTTTTGTTAATCAAAATTGGATTAAATTTTGACTTAGACCATATTGGACTCTTTGGATTCCATGGATCAGAAGCCTATTCCAGTATGACCCCCTCTAATGGGGTTTCAAACTGACTACATGAATGTAATTGGTCGTTTTGGTGATCTACGATCTAAACACGTTCTGCAAAAACAGACATTGTCATAGTTGATTTTCCCGACTCATATCAGCAATATAAACTGAAGTCTCTCTCATGAATCTAAAATTACGATATAATTGAAAAAAATCACAGACCGAAAATGATTGGATATACCCTGTACGGCTTTTTCAGATATAATTCGAAATGTTTTATTTGTTTGTAACTCGAAAATTCCATTCGCTTCCTTACAATTATAATTCTAGAGGTCCACTTGTAATATTTAAACTTTATTTGAAAATCAAATTATTTAATTTTTATAGCCAGTTATTTACCTTTGAATTCAAATTTTGCAAGTTTATTATTCAAAATAATAAACAAGTAAAAAAGATGTAAGTTCAGCCGGGCCGATCTTTGAATACCCTCCACCACATGGAAACAATTTGACAATTTTCCAAAAAAAAAAGTACCGAATATCGGGAGGTGCCGTTATATGGGGGCTACATGAAGACGTGGACCTGCTAAAACAATTTTCTACTCCAGTAGAACTTCAAATACCAAATTTTAAACATTTCAGGTGAATAATGTCGCTTAAATCACCAAAATACCGAAAAAAGGGAGCTACCATTATATGGAGGCTATACCAAAACGTGGACCAATTTCAATACCAAAAGTCCTGCAGACATAATACACATTTGAGTAAAATTTTATCAACCTACTTCATTTCGTTCGGAAGCTAGAGTGATTTCCACAGTCGGACAGACGGACGAAAATCGCTAATAGAATTTTATGCTGATCTCGAAAATATATACTTTGTGGGGTCTAAAATGGGGTCAATTATATATTAATTGATTTAAAACAACAAATGAAATAATTCAAATGACAGATGGAAACTTCCAATTATGAATAAAAGAAAGAAAAAATAAAAATAAAAGAAAAAAAAAACAAATAAAATAATTTTCGAATTTTTAATATTTAAATATTTTAAACTAATCTTGAAATATTTCGAATTACAAATTAGCTCTTAAGATTTACAATGTTTCGAATTACATCTGAAAAAGGTGTACTTTACTTAGCTAATCCACATACATAAATAAAATATTGCGACAAACAGGTTGGACATACCTGCTAAGTTCGTTTCGTAATTTTGTGACGAATTCTTTACACATAATCTGGTTTTAAACGACATTAAATCGATGACGTTGCGGCAACCAAAAGAAAGAAAACCTGAAGCCAAACTTACACATTTATGAACATACCTATGTGTACATGCGCACCGAACCACCCAAAACATTCGACCAAACATTCGACTTGCCAGTTAGCATAGCACCATAATCAACTGATTGTTTGCTGCCGGGAGCAGAGCAGAGCAGCGACAATCTGTTGACTTGTTTACTTTTCAAAAGGCGGTGGTGACCACCGGTCAGTTACGATTCTCAGAGACTCCCGGTTTCGAATAATGAAAACGAAATTAAATTCGAAATTTTAATCATGCGAATGAAACTAAAATTCAGACAGACAGGCAGGCAGGCAGAATGTCTTAAAAGCTTGCGGCTGCTTTGACGTGACGTCTCGGCTATCAGCGGATATTTTATCCAATATCGAATATGTATTTTGATGTTCACTTTGTTTTCATCCGAGTGCCAGTGTTCAGTTATAATTCAGTTTTGCACGTCTTCGGTCAAATTTGCGGAATATTCAGTTCGGTTTCGTCTTTTGTTGGTCTCCCAGGCAAGCAACTGGTGTTTGAAATTAAATGTTCGATTGCCCGACATTTAATTGCAGAACAATAATTAAAATAAAAGTGGTGGAAATTGTCTCCAATCGATAGATGTTGGTTGATTAGTTCACCAGACTGCAGCGCACACATAAAAAAAAAAAAAACTCGGTTAAATGGTCTCGTGTTCCCATCGAATTGTTATTCATATTTGTCTCTAATTGACGTGAATATCGTAGCGTGACTTTGAACGCCAACAGTTTCGTTGTGTCAAGTGTATGGTTGAAGTGTGTACGTTTTCGAAATATTTATTTATTAACGGAAAGAAGAAAAAAATCTATTTAAAAAATTCATCGCACTTAAATTCCGTAAGAATTGCACAAACATAAACGCGTTGTTGCTGAAACTGAAACGAAAAACTTGTTTGAAAATTTCGACAATTGATAGTAAAAACCAGCAGCCCGAAGCAAAAATATGGAAACTACCACGATTACAACACAAAGTCAGGAGTTAACTAGAAAAATTGATAAGCTGAAGAAATCCAAAAAGAAAACGGTAATTGTTAAAATGTAGTTTCTAAAGAAAATATTACAAATCTTCGTCTAAGGTTATCAACAAGGGCCCACAATATTTTTCAATAATTAGGAACAACTCTAATATCATATATTTATTATTTTCCATAAAAGGAAAAGGAGATTTTCTTTTTACCGTTATGTGGGAAAATTTCAAAATTTCGAATATTATTCTGAGGAACACCGACTAGAAAATGTAACTGAGGAAATAATATATAGAAAAACCAGTAAAGAAAGTCTTATAGTCGGGCGGGGCCGACTTTATGATAATTTGAAATCGGATAAAGATATATATGGAAGCTATATCCAAATCTGAACCGATCTCGATAAAATTTGGCAAATATATTCCTGAGCTGTATTTGATATATTTCCCCAAATATTGTTGTTACAGAGTGCATATTACGGCTGCGGAGGACAAAAATAACAAATCGGATGAACAATATACATGGGAGCTATAGCTATATCTGAACCGATTTCGACCAAATTTGGCATACTTATTTTTAGATCTAATTTGGTTGTATTCCATACTATTCGGGCTGATATTACACGTTTGGTGCACAATAAAAGCAAATCGGACGAAGAAATATATGGGAGCTATATCTAAATGTTTACCGATTATCTCCAATTTCAATAGGGTTCGTCCTTGGGACAAACAAATGATTTGTGCAAAATTTCATCTGGATCGGGCAATAAATGCGAACTGTATTTTGTTTACAAAAATACATGGACAGACGCACGGACGGACATGCATAAATCACTCAGAATGTGATTCTATGCAGATCATCAAAAGGAGCTATGGGTCTATCTCGTTTCCTTTTGCCTGTTACAAACAAATGCACAAAGACATAATACCCTGACCACCTTGTGGTGTAGGGTATAACTAGTAAAGAGAGGCCGAAGTCGGGCTGGGCTGACTTTATGATACCGGACTCCACTACGCATATATAGTAGAGCTATACATAACAAACAAACGTTTTTATGGGGATGAAACATACCAACTTTGATCGTTAAAGCTGTTATAATTTAAAGCCGAAAGAAACTAATGTTTGGCAGGCATATATCGTATTCTACTAAATTTGACGGAAGCATTTGTGTCTGAACCGATATTCATCAAAATTCATCCTATTTGAGCTGATTTTATATTTTTTAACATTTTTTAAGCACAATAAACGTGAAATCGGATGAAGATATACATGGTGAAATAAAACAAAACTGCAAAAAAGCCAAATGCCATAATTTTAACATAATTTTTAATTTTATTGAATGAAAGGAAAACATTTCGGAAATAGCACCACATTTTAGAATAAGTTCAGATTTGTTCGAATTGTTCACCTTTGGCACAAATTATGGCCTTCAAACGGCCAATGAAACCGTCACACTCTCCCGGTATGTTGCTCTGCGGTATTTTGGCCCACTCCCGGCGAGCGCTTGCTTGAGGTGATCGACACTTTGGTATTTTGCTCTCCAAAACACTCCAGACACAAGGCTTTAATATACCCTCCAGAATATTTTCACGATAATATCCGGCATTTATTCTGATGCCACAGTCGAATAATACGAGCGGAGAGCGACCATCGGCTGTTATGGCGGCCCGCCCTCATCTGGGCCGACGCTTGAGTTCTGGTGGCCAACCGAAGGTGCACATTTTCAGCTGACCTCTTTGGCAAGTAAACATGATAACTTTGTTTGTTTACAAACTGCAGGACAAAGAATGTTTTCTTATCGGAGAAAACCAAATTCGGCAGTTAACCACTTTTGGCCAAGCGAAGCAACTCTTTAGCTCTTTTCGGTGTAGTTTCTTTCTGCTGCGGTGTAACTTCTTGCCCTTTTTGGAATTTTAATGGCTTTACCCCGAGCTCATTTTTTAATATTTGCCGAATGGGATATGTTGAGCTCTCGAGCCATTTTTCAGACACTGCGACGCGGGTTTCGATCCAGTCGCTTCTGCTGATGTTTTTGTTTTCTTCCGTCAACTTCCTTGACGTCGGGCTACGCTACCAGTATCACGGTAACGAGCGATGGTACGAGACACAAAATAATTATTCAAATTTAAATGCTGGAGTGCTCTAACGATAGCCAGTTGTTGTTTTCCAGCCAAATGTAAAGCAATCACGCTTGAATTTAATTACGAATGACTTTTTTCTAGAAAATTCTCACCAAAATGGTTTTGTACGCTTGTAAACAATACAATGAACTGTCAGTGGAAAAATTTTTACAGCTGTCGGACGAGTGGCTTAGAAATGACAGCAGTCTGAAATTGGTATTTGATATATTTCCCCCAGTATCGTTGTTACGGAGTGCAAATTATGGTTGTGGAGGAGAAATTTAACAAATTGGATGAAGAATATATATCTGAACCGATTTTCACCAAATTTGACACACATGTTTCTAGGCTCAATCTTTTTATTTGTGCCAAATTCTATCCTATATCTAAGCTATATCTAATTTTTTACCGATTATCTTCAATTTCAATAGGGTTCATCCTTGGAGCAAACAAATGATTTGTGCAAAATATCATCTTGATTGGACAATAAATGCAATCTATACTTTGGTTACAAAAATACATGGACAGACGGACGGACATGCATAAATCGACTCAGAATGTTTTTCTATGCAGATCACAGTGTGGTGTAGAGTAAAAAATCAACAATACGCCTCATTGAAATTAAGGCTCTTTTTGAAAATAAATTAAAAATTGGCATATTGAGTGATGTGAGTAGCCGAAATATGACAGTAATTAAAAAATTAACAAAAATTATTAATTTTTATATTGGCATATTTTCCGTGATTTTACCTTTTTCTGGCAAGAAGCTATGAGTAAGTGAATTATAAGCGGAATAACTAGGATCAATTTCTTCTACAAATAGATTGTACCAATTTTGATATATATCTGATATCAGCACCAATATAATGGTTAGAAACGATTTCTTGCGTTTCTGGTTTTGCCGGGATTAAAAATATTCGCGTTTAGGGTTAGTTAGGTTAGGGTAAATTTACCCCGGTAAATATTATGCGATGATCATCCAAAGTAATAGGCTTCTGCCCAGCCCTAGCCTATAACTCCATGCATGTGGTCTGTAGAGCAAGTGTAAAATGAGGAATATTTCCTGTTTTTGGCCCATTTCAACCCCTAAATAGGCTTCTATTCCGACCCTAACCCATGCTAAAATTTCGTAAGGATCGGACCATAATTGCGACCTGTAGCGTGATTACAAATTAACGGACGGACATACATAGCTGGATCGACTCAGCACGGCGAGATAGAGAGATCCATACATACATTTCTATTTGCCGGACCAATATTTCGAGGTGTTACATAATTTTTGGCCCAATCGAACTTATATTAATCCCAACAAATAGTTTTGTAGGGTATAATAATAACAATGTACAATACAAAAAATAATTCAGAACATTATGAAAGTAGAGCTAAAAATTGAAGGCACGTGTATCGGCGTTAATTTAACTTTACATCGCTAAGTGACCGAAATAGAAAGGACAAGTTATCCCACATCCACATTTTTTCATATTTCTAGATTAAGATTCCTTGAAATCCATTGATTATACCAACTCCATCCTGTATCACAAATCGTAAAAACTAATATACCGGTGGGAAAGTTGCCGCCAAAATGAAAATAGTAGTCTAAAGTTACAGAACAACTATTTTTACTTTTTGCATGAAAATTGTTTATCTCAATAGTTTTTAATTTCCCCAATTTTACATTTTTATTGTTGCAAACCAAATAAATAACATCCTTAATTCTAAACTAACAGATGAAATGGAAGAAATATCGAGTGATTTTTAAACCAAGGAAATCACTACCATTTTCCAAAAAGGGTATTTTACTGATTTTAAGAACCTTACCCCCCCTCTACCATTTCTCCGCTTCAAAGGGTGGAATTATAATGACATACCTTACCAAAGATGGAAACCCGATTCAAGCTAAATTTACCATCATTAATTAAAAACTAAGTACTTCCTGAAATTTAATAATAGTATTCCATTGTTGTTGTTGCTATTTACATAGATCGTTTTAATAAATTTCCTTGAACGTTTTAGTGTCAAATAAACAATGTCGCCACAAAATACATTACCAAATGCAAATCTTGTGAAAATTAAGTACTTTCTCAAAGTGTTTACAGTTAGTGCTGTTGTTGTTTTTGCATTTTCTGTTCGGTATTTGTTCTCTCAAAGTGTAAATTCATTTGAAATGTAATTGACACTATTGGCATTAATGTGGCTGGGCTGGTGTTGGGGATCACTTAGAAAAAATATTTTTTTCGTCAAGTGTTTATCCAATACTTTAGTGGGATTGTTGTGCGGTTTTTAAGCATTATATCACCCCTTTCGGTTGAGCCAATTCAAGCAAATATTTCCAAGATTAATAAAATAATGGAAAACCCAGAGTGCGATTATTTAGCGCATTGTGGAATGTTGTGACCATATAGAAAAGCTCATGCTCCATCCATGATCGTTGATACCAATGTAACGTGATCAAATTTCAATTAAATTGAAAGACATCCAAGAAATTTGCATGAGACAGAAGTTTGGGTCAAGAAACAAATTTAATAGTTACAGAAATCAAATGCTATAAAAATCAACTTAATTGTGTGCAATTTTCGCTCTTTTTTGAATCGAAATAATTATAATAATTATTAGCAATTTTACATTTACGCACGCATTTCTGATAAGTTATATTGCGTTGTTAGCTTTTTTCTAGACCTGCCATCGGCAATTAAAACAAAATGGTTACAATTAAAATATATAAATGTTGGTTAATTGTAATTATCTGAAACGAAAGAAAACATGTGACTTATTTTAAGTTTCAAATACCCGTGATTATTGTACAAAGAATATTAGTTGACCTTTTAAATAACAATTAAGAGTTCAAATCGTAAGGGAAATTAACATCCATTCATCCACAAAAGAAGCCTTAATAAGGCAAGTATTTCAGTCACAATTTTCTGATCATTGGTATTTGGCCCCGCTCGACAATAACCATATGGCGAGTGGCAAACTTTACAAAAACCCGTAAAAAACATTTGGGGGGCTGTACCAAGACGGGAACCTACATAGGCAATTTTACACTTCAAGGATTGCCATCTATCAAATCTTCTTAAACAATATCGTGTCTAAATGTGACTAGGATAATCAAAATACCGAATATCGGGAGGTACAGTTATATGGGGGCTATACAAAAACGTGGATCTATGCATAGAATATTTCGCTACCGGAGCTAGAACCCATTATGACCTACAAATAACAATTTTTAGACAAATTCGTGAAAAAATGTGGCAAAAATCATCAAAATACCTAATATCGGGAGGTATCGTTATATGACGGCTATACCAAAACATAAACCTATATATACAATGTTTCGCTACCAATTTTTAGAAAATCATCTAGATACTGAATATCGAGAGGAACCCTTATATGGGGGCTATACAAAAACGTGGACCTGTATATACAATGATTCGCCACCGGAGCCAGAATCCATTATATCTTACAAATATAAATTTTTAAACAAATCCGTAAAAAAATGTGGCAAAAGTCATCAAAATACCGAATATAAGGAGTTACCGTTATATGGTGGCTGTACCTAAACCAACCATTATAGACACAATACAAATTGTTCAGCCAAATTTTGGAGCTCTACGTCAGATCATTAATCAACAAACGGACAGACAGAGAGACGGACGTCGTTAAATCGACTTAGCATTTTATGCTTATCATAAATACATATATTTTATGGAGTCTGCAATGAATATATAGGGATGTTACAAACGGAATGACAAAGTTAATATACCCTCCTTTTCAAGGTGGAGGGTATAACAAATTATAAAGTATCAGTTGGTTTTACCAATATATGCATACCTTCAGTGCAATTCCGTTTATTTAAAAATACTTCAGCCTACGTTATAATTATTTAAAATATTAACCATTTATGGGAAATGTACCAAAGGAATGACCCAAATGTTGTCCATTTCACATCTGACCTGAGTCTGATATAAAACTACGACGTTCCGACATTTTGTTCGGGAGGTACTAGAAACAGTGGAATATGGAATTAAACTGCAACACTTTATCTAATATTGATAACAATATTTGTATTAAAGAAAATCGAACACTTATATTAAATTCTATGCCAAAAATTGTTAATCAAAATGTTATATTTTTGTGAGAGATGGGACGAGAAAAGATCTTTTATATTAGAAAATTCACGAATTTTATAAAATATAATTCACTTAAGAATAGCTCACCTGTCTCACCTGAGCTAAAGGAAATTGGCTTCAAATTAAAATTCGGTGAAAGCTCATGTCTGTTCTAAGAAAAACTTTAGTTTTGAAAATGGAATCCTTTCAAAATTTTGACGACAGAGAATTAAGGGGTTTGGCCAGTAAAAATTAATTCTGAATCACATTGGATTGGTAATATGGCTAGCTATTTCGAGGGTTCTAGATTCATTTGCACTTGATTATTGCCATTTCGTATCCTGGATTCTTCTTACTTTAATGATTAGATATAGGCTCTAAAAAGCGATCCATAGTAAATATGTAGATCTAATACAACTTTGACATAACGGTTGTAAACTATACCCGTCTATTGTGTTTAGTGTAATTTATTTGGTATTTACTAATTGTTCAATACTGTGTTAATTAAAAACAACAACAACTACTTCAAAAATTATGCAACGCAATTCGCACACACCCACTTTTGGATGACGACGAGGTTATTCTTGTTTTTTTTGTTTTGTTCAAAGCAAAAACAAAAACATAAACAAGTGCAGTCGTTGTTGCCGGAAATATGCATTCATCGAGATTTGAGGCGGCAACGTCATTTAATGTAACTGTGTTATTTTTTTCTCTCGAAAATCCCTCCCTCTCTCTATGACTGCTGTACCCTAAAACCATTTGAATGAGTAGCAGCTTTGTTGCGATTACAAAGAACATAAATAAAAATGTTGTTTATTTTGTAGCTAAAAAGAATAATATAAATAAAAAACAAAAACATAAATATAAAACTACAAAAAGAATATAATTATTAATACATGGTACTTGAGCATGCTATGCTATAGCATGTGTACGGAAAAAATAATTCAAATGAAAAAAGTTCCTAAATAATGATACTACTTATTTGAATTTATTGTTATTATTCTTGTACAAATAAATTAATTTAATCGGTTTAATGAAAACAAGTAAATTTTTTATAGTCTCCATCAACATATAACGATTTAAAATTTTGTGAAATCGGAAGGTATTGTGTTATAGGTAGTTGTTTACGTAATACGAATCTATGTTGACAATTTAGTAGGAAGCATCATATCAATGGAGATCATAAAATGATGAACATCAGCAAAATTAGTAACATGTTGTGGCACAGCCTCTCGCCATAAAAGAAATAAGAAGGCAAGGCTTTACAGGTCATCAAATTCGACTGCTGATAAAAAGGCTGATGTTTCGACCTTGATATTTGAAATCTTATGGGGGTAATAACCCATATATTTCAGAGGTTATTATATATTTTAAAGATATACAAATTACCATCACAGAAGAATAGTCAGCTCTTTCAACTTTATGAGATAACTCCCCCCCACCTAAATGTCGCTAAAAAATTTAGTAGGCTCTTTTTTTTAAATCAAAACTTTTTATGAAAGGTCGAGTCCAAAGAAAGACATTAGCATATTTAAAAAGGAAGCATCGATTTTTTTTTTAACTCAAGAATTCAACTGGTTTTAAATTTCTTTGGCTGAAACTGTACTAAAAAGAATTCACCAAAACGTGTCGGCAGAGAAACGTGAAACGTTATCGCTAAATTTGGAGGAGATTTTATATGCAAATTTGCGGAACTCAAGTATGCAACCGCCGAGTTTCTTCCGCAACATAATTAAATATGCCAGCTTTCGAAGAGTTCATTTTTCATCGTTTGTCAATAGATAGATTATTATTTTTCCTTTAGTATTTGTGAGTTTATTAATTAACATATATTATTTTTTTGGTTTCTTCTTCATCTATTCTTTCCGTTAGTTATTAATTTTATTTCCTTCTATGTTTCTGTTTATTTTTTTTTTTTTATTTTTTTTTGTAGAATGAAGGTCCTAAACATGCCTCTTCACAAGACGCACATCAATTTCCGGATAATGAAGAGCCAAATGTTTTGGGCCATGGCTCACCCACTGCTGTTACATCGCTGCAACAACGTAACGGTTGTTGCCACATCCAATCCGATTCTCAGGTCGATGACACTGGAAAGTACATGAAGAATAAAATGTTGCTAAATTTTGAAGATGTAAGTATTTCTTCTCAGGTAAAAATATGCATATATACAGTAAAACCAGTAAGGAAAAGTCAAAAGTCGGGCTGAGTCGACTATATAATACCCTACACCACTATGCATATTTAGAACTTCCGTATTAAAACAAATTATTTGAAGTAGATCATACCACCTATCAACATTTGGATGTAGAGAAGTTATAAGTTGGTTTCAGAGAAAATGTATAATATATGGGAGGCATATCCAATTCTGAAGTTATTTTCACTAAATTTGACGGTGACATTTTTATCTTTTATACCAAATAACATTGTTATAGAGCTCTATAAGATATCTGGTACCAAATATTGTTGTCAAATGAGGGACTTAAACACCAAATCGGATGAAATATATATATGGGAGCTATAACAATATCTGAACCGATTTTTTCCAATTTTGATGTACTTGCTTCTAAACTGAATTCGGTCGGATGTACCAAAGTTTAGAAATTTTTGACAGATATTGTCCATTTAGTGCACAATTAACCCGAAATCGGTTGAAGATATATATGGGAGCTATATCCAAATCTGAACCGATCTTGATAAAATTTGGCAGAGGTATTTTTGGGCTGTATCTGATTTCTGGTACCAAATATCATTTCGAATGTATATTACGAATGCGAGGGACTTAAACACCAAATCGGATGAAACATATATATGGGAGCTATAGCTGTAACTGAACCGATTTTCATTCGGTCGGATATACCAATATTCCGGTCATTTGGGCTGATATTGGCTATTTAGTGCATAATTAACCTGAAATCGGTTGAATATATGTATGGGAGCTATATCCAAATCTGAACTAAATATTCAATGTTCTGCCACCGGGCTAGGACCCATTATGAGCTACAAATGCCAATTTTTAGAAAATCCGTGGAAAAATGTTTCAAAAATTATCAACATATCGAATATCGGCACGTATCGTTATATAGGGGCTATACCAACACGTGAACCTATGTATGTCGACGGACCCATGACTCTTTGGGCTCATTCCAATCGACGAGGCTTGTCCGCAGGCGACATTCTTTGCGTCAATTGAATTTTGTACGGGAACAAATGCAAATCAATGCGAATAATCCGTTGTAAAGTGGACCGAGCCATGCCCAACTGCTGAGAACGGTGTTTTTGGGATGTTCTTGGGGACCTCTCAACACTGGCTCGCCTTACCAGTCGAAAAGTTTTCGTATAAACGCTTAATGGTGTTCTTAGAAGGCGCACTTCTCACATTTTTAATGTTTTAAAAGCACGTTGAGGATCTTACAAATGGAATGACAAATTTAATATACCCTCCTTTTCAAGGTGGGAGGTATTAAAATGAAATGTCGTTTCTTGGTAATTGAATCAGTTGATAACGGCTGGGATAGGGTATTGGACAATTTTTAAATTTGAAATTCACTAGAATTGCGATCTCGCATTGCAACACTATGACCTATATACATTAAATAGTCACTTCTGACCATTACAGTGATGGTGATATCGGATATGTAGTAAAATAGGTACAATATATATGTAAACGAAATAGATCCTAGTTATTCGGCATGTAAGTCAAGAACCACTGGACAGATTTTCACAATTCTCATCAATTCAGAATGGTCTCTTGCCAGACAAAGATAATATCTAAGAAAATCGCGTAAAAATATTACAATAAAAAAGTAAATATTTTTGTTACATTTTTTCAATTATTGTCATATTTTTTTATCGCACGATTTTTTTAATTCGACTTACAATACATTTTGTAAAGTTTTTCTATACCCTGCAACGCTATATGTAGAGGGTATTATATACAGGTCGCAATTATCGTGCGATGTTCACGAAATTTTTATGGGGTTAGGGCCAGAATTGTGTTTGAATAGGGTTCAAATAGACCATAAAAAAGAATATATAAAAATTTCCTGCAGCATCAGTCGCTCTACTGGTCACAATTATATTTAGCTGTAAAATGGACTGCAACTTAGGTGTTAAATTTGTTTTGAATACCTAACAACACGACGGAAAGTAATTAAAATTCAAAGCAGGAAAGTTGTTTTAAAATTCTCTTAAGAATATATCTTTCATTAATTTCCCTATCTGTGATTTAAACGCTAATTATCCAAAAAAAGTGTGAGTTTGAAAAAATCAAATGATATGCAGAAAAACAACCAGACGCAAAGGCCAATTGTTATCACGACCCTATATAAAGACACTTACCAATTTTAAATTTGTCTCAAAAAATCATAAATTTAAATTAATATTTCGTTTTTGAAATAGTCATTACCCCAACACCCAGCAATGGGTCACAGGGTTGTGCCGAAATTCAAAAAGAAAAACACACACACACTAATGCACACATTTATTTATAAACCAAAAAATACAGTGAATAAAAAATACACGAGTTCGTCTGCACCCAAGTTAAGTTAATTTAGAAAACAAATGCTACATACATACAATACCTTCTTTACCCAACTTACAGGCGAATAAATACCAGCCAATTTCAAAACTTTTTTATTTAGATTTGGACACTAACCAAAATAATGCAAAAACAAAACAGAAAATAAATCGCTAAATCAAAGTCAAAGCCAAAAACAATAACAATAAAATGTTTACTACAACACCAACAATAGCTAAACAAAATCTCTTTGTTAATAATGTTAACCTTGATTTAGTTTTGCAAATCAAAGTCTGGCCCTCTGTCAGACTGCTCGTCCACTTAAGTGTGATGCGTACATGTGTCTGTCTGCCTGCGGGACAGTTCGACAAGCGTGTAACGTAAATCGCTGCGAAGTCCATGTTTGTGCCATACCTAAACTTATTCCATTTGTCTTGGACTATTGTTATTGTTGTAGTAAGTTTTATTTAATATTTATGTTAATAATTTAGCATTAATGGTGTAAATGAATAACTAATGCAGTGCAACAACGACAACAACTTCATGGAATACCCAGCCAATGGCATACTAACAAATCAATGAATTCAGGGTTCGTTAATGAAGCTTGCCAATGAATGTGTCAACAATAAGAACAACAATAAATTTTTAGCATGAACTTGGCTAATGCGAATTGAAAATGGAATAACCATTGATCATCATATACCCCTACCGCTACCAGCCAATCACCCCCCCCCATGCTGATATTACAAAAAACTTTTTAAAGTTTTTTTGTGCGTGCGAAACTAAAGAGTTCGACATTCCGATTTAGGTGAAGATCACCTCATCATATGCATACATAGCCACATACGCATGGTTTTATGTTAACCGATCTAGTATGGAAATCGTCGCTGGCCTTAAACAGCAACTAACATATTTGGATGCCAATTGGCAAAGGTGTCAATGCGACTTAAGTTGGCAAAATTCTTTCGGCCAACTTACAATAATTTGAATATATTGACTTTGGCCAAACAAATATATATTTGACATTGAAATTGCGGCGGAGGCTTGTGCGTTGCATAAAAATTGCACATATTTGTATAATAGACTTTTTGTATCTTACGAATGAAAAATTGGATTGATTCAAAGCCGTAGGGACTGATAAAGACAACTAACTACAATCGTTATACACAAGTCAGATCAGGGCCTAAATTCTTGTTCTATAAAAAGTGTGAATTGAAAAAAAAAAATATATATATATAAAGGAAAGAAATGTTTGAAGAAGGTACAAACATTTTATAGATATAGATTGTCCAATATTTCAAACTTTACCAGAGGATAGTTCTGCCTACATGTACTAGAAGAAGTGGTCCGATATATTCCATTTTTACACTTGGTATTGATAGAAATATTGGAATTTGCCGAGTTTGGGAGGAATCGGATGCTCATTTCGCGTTTTACGAGCTTCATGATTATTCAAAATTTTGACCAGTTTTGGGAGAGATACCAGAAGGAGTCTTGGGTTGGTAGAGATATGGAGGTGTGCGAATACCTTTTATAGGAGATATGAATATTTAAAGTGTTGACCCTTTGTGGGGAAGGTACTTGATGGAGTGAGCCGATATTATCTATTTTATCATCTGACCTAGAAGTGATACAAATATTAAAATTTGAAAAGTTTCAAAAACATCGGATGATCCTTTCTTGTTATGTAGTGTAAATTATTTGCTGAATTATTTGGAAATTTTTGACCTTTTGTGGTCAGAAGAAGTTGATCGATATTGCTCATCTCCGAACTCGATCTAAGTTTGGCAATAATATTACGATGTATCAAGTTTGGGCCAAATCGGTTGTTCCATTCGAGAGTTATTGTGCGCGCCAGCCAGCCAGACGGACGGACATCGGCTCTAAATGTCCTGAAACGGATTTGATCCAAAGAGACCTAGGATCAAATGATATATTCCCTATATAGCCATATTGCTGAGGGTATAAAAACGCGTTATTTTACAGGCCAGAAACTTTTTTAGGCAGAAATGCATGTGAGTTGTCATTTTTATACCCTCCACCATAGTATGGTGAAATATACATTTTAGACCCCACAAAGTGTATATATTCTTGATCAGCATAAAATTCTATATCGATTTAGCAATGTCCGTGCGTCTGTCCGTCTATAGAAATCACTCTAGCTTCCGAACGAAATGAAGTAGGTTGATAAAATTTTACTCAAATGTGTATTATGTCTGAAGGACTTTTGGTATTGAAAATGGGCCATGTAGGTCCACGTCTTCGTATAGCCCCCATAAAACAGTACCTCCCGATATGCGGTATTTTGTTGATTTTAGCGACATTATTTACCGGAATTGTTTCACATTTTGTATTTGAAGCTCGTAATGAATACTACAGCCTATGCCAGAAAATTGTCTGTGCAGGTCCACGTTTTATAGCCCCCATGGTACCTCCATATATTCGGTATTTTGAATATTTTAGCTACAATATAAGCAGTTTTTTTTCAAGTTTCGCATTTGAATGTCGTAATAGCTTCTGAAAAAAGTTTCCTTTTCAGGTCCACGTCGTCGTATAGACCCTAATATACTTCTACATTCCGTATTTTTAAGATTTTAACAGATTTTTTAATGGATTTTATTTTTTTCGGAAATTGCCAAATTGTTGATTCTTGTGTTGTAGGTAATCTCCTTAGATGTGATGCCCGCTTTTCGTTTTAGTTCGACTACAGATTTTTAAGGCTTTAGTATAAATAAGAAACCCTTAAAAGATATATAACAACTGTTAAGGGTTTCTTTTCCCCATAGTGGAGGTTATAAAAAGTTAGGTCCGGCCAAACTTAAATCCGTCTGTTGATGTTTTATTTTCACATAACCTCAAATAGTTTGTATAATCTAAAAGTCTGATTTTAATTCAATTTCTTCTCTTCCTCTTTTCAGGCACCTGATCATCTTAAATTTAATCCCTACATAAGACATGGTTATCGTACATTCCTTTCCACAAAGCTATGTCTGCAGAGTATGTTCTGGTGGACAAATGAAACGGTAAGGAACCGTCATCTGATTTCGACTTAAAATATTCTACTTTCCCATTCCCCTCTTTTTCGTTTTCAGATCAATATATGGAGTCATTTATGCGGTTGTATATTATTTATTGGTCTGACCATATTCGATTTTCAATTCCTGAAGATTCATGCGGAACTGGAGGATCAGATTTTGGTTGTGTGCCTCTTGATATGCTTCTGCCTGTGCATGCTGCTATCCTCAATCTATCACATCTTCTCGTGTAAATCTGAAGAACATTATGAGCTATTTCTGTCGGTGGACTATTTGGGCATATCGTTGTCCCTGGTGGCCATCTACATAAGTAGCATGTATTATGCTTTTTGGTGTTTTAAGGTGGGCGATATTAATCGGTTTTGTTAGGGGATAGCCTATTAACCCAAAAATGATTTCGTTACCCTTTTCAGAATCTTAGAATAATTTACTCTGTGATTGCTTTGAGCATGTTCGCCCTAGCTATGGTTGTACAAATTCCCAAATTAAATGTTTCCCTTAATGCAAAAATAGCGGTGCTATTTACATGGGCAGCCTATGGTGTTATACCACTGGGCCATTGGACCGTGGTCATGGGTGGTTTGGAAAATGAACTTGTGAGGGTAAGTATTTTTATTTCATTGAAAATTATGTATTTTAATGTTGATTTTTTGCAGCTAATGGTTCCCCGTGTCATCATCATGTATGCCTTGTGTGCCATTGCCTTTGTGATATATGCAGCCAAGATTCCCGAACGCTGGCTAACTGGTAAAGTTGACTACATTGGTCACTCACACAACTGGTGGCATCTATTCATTTTGGCCGCCTTCTATCACTGGCACAACACCGGTTTGGTCTATGCTGAATATCGTTTAAACAACGGTTGCCATGGACCCATACTGACGTGAGGAGGAGAAGAAGGCCAACAAGCTGATGTCTCGGATTCTGTCATAGAACATTCATTCAAAAGATTCATGCCATCAGAACAGAACGTGTTGAGAGAATATACCAAAAATCAAGAAGAAGAAGATTCAAATTAACAACAATGGGAAGAAAACAAAACATGTTCGTCTAGTCCAGTTGTTCCTTGCGGCCGGATATCTAATATCACTTTCATTCTGAACGATTATATTAATTATGGTGAAAGAAATAAGTGACAGCTGTTCCAGTTATTATACATATATTTGACATTTCATAAGCCCTCTAATTCTGCTTTATTTATTAATTTTTTTGGTGCGACCTCTTATGTTGAAGGCAGGATCTCCAACTGGAAACATTCGATTTCCGCCAAAAACCCAAAACCATTAAACGATATTGTAATGAAACTGTAGTCTTAAAATAATTTAATTTAGTTTGGTTAATTTTTATTATTATTATTACCATCATCATAATCATTACTATTGTTATTGCAATGTGTGTTATTACAAAGAAAGAACAATAGTACATACCTGGTTAATTTTGAGTTGATTTTTGTATAACAGGGCTTAGGTCCCTTATTATAGAATTGACTATTAGTATTGGAACTATATAATTCCCCATATTCAAAGCATGCGATCAATTAATCCATCCGTCAGTCAGTTAGCCACTCTCTTAACTATTGAATGCCACTCTCAGTTAGTCGACCTCCTTATTTCTACCTTGATATTTAAGTCTAAGAGAGTGCGGTAGCCACGAAAATGGTTTAGCCCATTTGTGGATCTTCAGGGCTAAAAGCAGTTCAAGGAAATTTTTCTCAGTTATTTCTTTCTTTTCTAATTTAAAATAAATTTAAGTGTTGTATATTTGCGAATGATTGTAATTTTAATAGGAAATTAAATAAAATGGAATAAACGAATAATAGTGAATAGTATAATATAGCGGGTTTTTATTTTATTCTATGCAGACGACATTTGCAAAGAACTTACTAATTGTAAGTAAAAAAGCAGATAAGTTCGGCAGGGCCGAATTTTTAATACCCTCCACCATTTTGAAGAAACTTGAAAATGTTCAAAAAAAAAAAAAAAAATCCGTCAAAAAATACTGCCCAGAGGAAGACTGTTATATGGGAGCTTCGTACAGAAACTTGGTCTTGCATAAATAATTTTGACATTAACATCGGCTATACTCGTAGTATCAATTACGACCTTCAAACACGAAAATTCAAACTTCAATTCCGGTGAATAATATCGCTAAAATTATCAAAATACCGAATATCATTCACTATACAATATCGTTGACCTATATAGACAATTCACTTTCAGAATGTAAAGTACTGAAACGGAACTCCTTGTGTAGAATTTCAGACAATTCCATTGAAGAATGTGGCTAAATTCATAAAAATACCGAATGTCAGGAGGTACAGTTATATGGGGGATATACTATATCGTGGATCTATATAGACAATTCTATTCCAGGGTATAAAGTACTCAGAAGGAACCACTTGTGTGGATTTTCAGACAATTCCATTGAAAAACTTGGCTACAATCATCAAAATATCGAATATCGGGGGTACTGTTGTATGGGGGAATATGATATCGTGGACCTATGTTCTCATTCTCTTCCAGGGTGTAAAGTACCCCTTGTGAAGAATTTCTATTGAAAATGTGGCTAAATTCATCAAAATACCGAATATCGGGAGGTACCGTTATATGGGGGCCAACAAAAACGTGAACCTGCATACGCAATTCTTGCATTACGAACTTTAAATACGAAGACGTGGAACCCATTACAAACTTTGAATACGAAATTTGAAAAAATTTCGATGAATAATGTCGCTAAAATCATGAAAATACCGGAGAATATCGAGAGGTAACGTTATATGGGAGCTATATGAAAGCGCGGATGACCCATTTACGAACTTAACCTGCCAGGTGAGCCAAATTTTAGCCTTCTATCTCAATGTGTTCAAATCATAGCGTGATTACGACAGACAGACGGACAAAAAGACAGACGAACATCGTTAAATCGACTTACAATTGTCTATCATGAGTATTTCGAGGAGTTATAAACGGAATGACAAAGCTTATATATCCTCCATAGTATGATGGATGGACGCCTATATTATTTTCGTGGTCAAATATAAGCCAAAACATATACAGCGACATCTATGATTTCGAGATAGCATCTTCTCCGTCGAAAAATGTAGCTCCATCTGTTGTATTAACCATTTCAAACATTTCTTTTGATTTGGTGGCGATCTTGAATACATTTAAAGTTGAAATCAACGTGAAATATAATTGCATGACTTTAGGCGAATAGAAAAACTTAAGTTCACATAATATTTACTTATTTTTATTTTATTTTAACAAATCTTTATATTCATGTAAACAAATGAACATACAATTTTTTGAAATACACAAAGCACTTATGCTTCATTTTAATTTATTTGAATATTATTTATTCTTATAAATTGGGTGGGAATTACCCTACACTAACAAATATTCGTCTTTGGGTTATTCCTCTAGTTTTGACTTATACATTGCTTTAAGTCTGATAGATGACGTAGACTTTTGGAAAGCTTCCCTTTATCCGTTATAACCTGAAACACTATGTATTTCATTGACATAGCCGTGTCCAACTCCTAATATATAAGCATTATTGTAACCATGGTGCAATCGGTCAAAATCAGTGGGTCTGGAATCTACATTGACATTTTCCTATAAAATGATATGCCCCAAAGTAGCCTAAACACACATTTCTAGCCAAATCGATTGGAAAATGTGATCACGACCCTCCAAATAAGGGAATCAGGAGGTATGGGCCCTACTTTGAAACATTGACCTACATTCTGCGAAGAGGTCTTTTACACCCTTAGAAACCAAGATGCCAAATAAGAGTCAAATCAATCAAAAATATGGCTAACAAGTATACAAAAGCATTAAGCAGGGGAATACCCTTATATGGATTTGAATAATTGATTATACATGTTACATATAGGAAAAGATTGTCTGTTGCACAGTGTACTTACTTATCATGGCGCATAATCCTCCGATTCAAGGTATCTAAGGAGGATATGAAAGCTCACTGAATCTTCAATTCGCTCTTTCATTGTGTATAGAGCAGCGCATCTTCTTATTCTTTATTTCACTGAATGCAGTCCCCATGAATCTTACATTGTGAGTTTCCCTTGGACGGATTATTGTCATATGAAAGAAGTAGGTCCACATTTTGATATGAGTCCCACACAGCTGTGTCGGCATCTTCCAGCTGAAGCACAATGTAGGTCCTAGGGATGGAAAGCTAGATGCATATTCTACTTAGGAAAGATCGCCATTTAACATCGTGTTGTGCACTAATTGCACTTGCTTTATTTTACAACCAGAATTCCAAAAAAAAAAAAAAATATAATAATAGTAATAATAATAATAATAATAATAATAATAATAATAATAATAATAATAATAATAATAATAATAATAATAATAATATAATAATAATAATAATACTATAATAATAATAATAATAATAATAATAATAATAATAATAATAATAATAATAATAATAATATAATATAATAATAATAATAATAATAATAATAATAATAATAATAATAATAATAATAATAATAATATAATAATAATAATATAATAATAAGAATAATAATACTAATAATAATAAGAATAATAATAATAATAATAATAATAATAATAATAATAATAATAATAATAATAATAATAATAATAATAATAATAATAATAATAATAATAATAATAATATAATAATAATAATAATAATAATAATAATAATAATAATAATAATAATACTAATAATAATAATAATAATATAATAATAATAATAATATAATAATAATAATATAATAATAATATAATATAATAATAATAATAATATAATAATAAATAATAATAATAATAATAATAATAATAATAATAATAATAATAATAATAATAATAATAATAATAATAATAAATAATAATAATAATAATAATTAATAATAATAATAATAATAATAATAATAATAATAATAATAATAATAATAATAATAATAATAATACTAATAATAATAATAATATAATAATAATAATAATAATAATAATAATAATAATAATAATAATAATAATAATAATAATAATAATAATAATAATAATAATAATAATAATAATAATAATAATAATAATAATAATAATAATAATAATAATAATAATAATAATAATAATAATAATAATAATAATAATAATAATAATAATAATAATAATAATAATAATAATAATAATAATAATAATAATAATAATCATAATAATAATAATAATAATAATAATAATAATAATAATAATAATAATAATAATAATAATAATAATAATAATAATAATCATAATAATAATAATAATAATAATAATAATAATAATATAATAATAATAATAATAATAATAATAATAATAATAATAATAATAATAATAATAATAATAATAATAATAATAATAATAATAATACTAATAATAATAATAATAATGATAATAATAAAAATAAAAATGTTCACTTCAATATAGCATATCAAAATATAACAAACATATTTCTCATTCACTTTTTATTAGCGGATTTTTACGCGATTTGTTCTTTGGATTTTGACCCTCTTTGCTAGGAGATCATTCTTAAATGGTGTGAATTGTCAAAAGGCGTTTTTGAGTTATAAGCGCTAGAATGGGCTATCACTTTGAAATTCGATTCCATTGAAAAGCCTTTTTCGATTTTAGAATTTTTGCAATGAGATAGTCTTTTTTTCGTGATTTTGTTTGCGATTTAAAGTAGTAATTATTAACCGCGTTAAATTATTTCGACATCATCCATTCAGTTTCACCAACACAAAATTCGGCACTACACTTCAATGCAACCCGCGTGCAATTTTCGTTCTAAAAAAGTGAAAAAACCCTTTCGTACACGATAAAATATTACTTTTTTGTATACCCTCCACCATACTCTGGAGGGTATATTCATTTTGTCATTCCGTCATCGAAATAATGATCTTAGACATAATAAAGTATATATATTATAAAATTCGAAGACGATTTAGCCATGACCGTCTGTCTTTCTGTCTGTCTGTTGTAATCACGCTATCTTTCGGACGAATTGAGATAGGAAGCCAAAATTTTGCACACATGTATGTTTTGATAATTTTAGCGACATTATTCACCGGAATTGTTTCAAATTTGGCATTTGAAGTTCGAAGTGGATACTACAGCCTAAGACAGAAAAATGTCTATGCAAGTCCACGTCTTCGTATAGTCCCCATATAACGGTACCTCCCAATATTCGGTATTTTGATGATTTTAGCGTCATTATTCATAGTAGTTTCAATTTACGTATTTAGAGTTCGTAATGGGAACTACAGTCTGTGACAGAAAATTGCCTATGCAGGTCCAGGTCTTCGTATAGGCCACATATATCAGTACCTCCTTATATTCGATTGACGATTTTAGGTACAATACTCACCGAAATTGTTTGAGATGTCGTATTTGAAGTTCGTAATGGAAGCTACAGCCTGTGACAGAAAATTGTCGATGCAGGACCAGGTCTTCGTATAGCTCCAATATAACGGTACCTCCCTATGTGCGGAATTTTGATGATTTTGGCTACATTATTCACCGTTTATTTCAAGTTTCGAATTTGAATATGGTAATGGCTTGTGACAAAAAATGCCTATGTAGGTGCACGTTTAACAGGCCCTAATATTATGGCTATATTCGGTATTTATACCCTACAACACTATCTGTTGGGGGTATTGTAAGTTTGAATGGGTCAAAAATTATGTAACACCTCGAAATATTTGTTTCCCACATAGGAAATTATATATGCATCTTCCTATCTCGCCGAGCTGAGTCGATCTAGCTATGTATGTCCGTCCGTCTGTACGTCTGTCCATGTTAATTTGTAATCACTCTACAGGTCGCAATTATGGCCCGATCTTCACGAAATTTAGAATGGAGGTGGGGGTAGGGCCAGAATAGAACCCTATTTCTTTTGGAGATAATCGCATAATATTTAGGTGTTGAATTGGACCAAAATCTGAAAATTTTCATGATTTGGCAGTTGCTCTACAGGTCGCAATAATGGACCAATCGAAGCGGAAGTTAGTATGGAGCTAGAGCTTAGGGGTGGCTAGAAGTCTTACAATTTTGATGGTCATCGGGTAATATTTAGTGGGTGAAGTAGACTATAACATTTGTGTTAAATAAAAGTCAAATTTTCCATTATACCGCGAATAGACGAACAGGTCAATTCTGACCGTTACGTAGATGCCGATATCAAATATATCGCATATATATAGCGAAATATACACAATGTGTATATACAATGGAAGGGGATGTTAGCTAGAATGCTTATATCTCAAGAATGGCTGGATCGATTTTGACAAATTTTGTCAATTCAGAATGCCCTCTTGGCATAAAAGAATAAAATCTAAAAAAATCGATTAAAAAGATGCCAATAATGATGTTAATATAGATTTTGTAGTATTTTGTTACATTTTTTTATTTATTTTTTTTTTCATATTTTTTATCGCATGCGATTTTTTCAATTGTTACACACAGGTTGGGGATATTATATACTGATTGCAATTATAGTCCGATCCTCACGAAAATTTTCGCAAGGGTAGGGTTAGGCTCAGAAGGGCTAGCCCTATTGTTTTCGAAGATGTCCGCAATATATTTGGGTGTTTAAATGGACCAAAAACAGAAAAAAATGCCTGATCACTTAATTGAAGCCAATCGACACGCCTAAGAAGAGAGTTAAGGATAGGGAAGAATTCTAGCATTTTGGATTACGTTTAGCTGTAAAATGGACCACAACAACTAACAGCATGACGGAGTGGATGGATTTGCTTACTTGTTTTAAAATGTTAACAGAAATTTTGGCGAATGGTATCTTTTTCGAAAGTTTTCAAATTCGTTCTAAATGGTGGAGGGTATTTTTATACCCTCCACCAAAAAAAGTATGGAGGGTATATTAAGTTTGTCACTCTGTTTGTAACTCATCGAAATAATCATTTTAGACCCAACAAAGTATATATATTCTTGATCAGCGTAAAATTCTAAGACGATTTAGCCCTGTCCGACCGTCTGTCCGTCTGTTGTAATCACGCTACAGTCTAAACGAATTAAGATAGAAAGCTAAAATTTTGCACAGATCTCTCTTTTGTCTGCAGGCAGGTCAAGTTCGAAGATATATCGGTCCACGATATCGTATAGCCCCCATATAACGGTACCCCCGATATTCGGTATTTTGATGATTTTACCCACATTTTTCATCGGAATTGTCTGAAAATCCACACAAGGAGTTCCTTCTGGGTGCTTTATACCTCGGCAGAGAATTATCTATATAGGTCCACGATATCGTATAGCCCTCATATAACGGTACCCCCGATATTCGGTATTTTGATGTCTTTAGCCATAGTTTTCAACGGAATGGTCACAAGGGGCTCTTTGCCAGCACTTTACCCCCCGACAGAGAATTCTCTATATAGGTTAACGATAACGTATAGCTCCCATATAACGATACCTCGCGATATTCGGTATTTTGATGATTTTAGCCACATTTACCAATCGTATTGTCTGAAAATCCACACACGGAGTTCTTTGTGAGCACTTTACCCCTGAAACAATATCGTATATCACCCATATAACGGTACTCCCCTATATTCCGTATGTTGATGATTTTAGCCACTTTTTCCAATCGAATTATCTGAAAATCCACACAAGGAGTTCCTTGTGAGTACTTTACACGCAGACATAGATTTGTCTTTATTGGTCCACAAATTTCGTATATCCCCCCATGTTAGATATTTTAAAGATTTTAAAAGAATTTTTAATGGATTTTATTTTTTTTTTGAAAATTTTCTAATTCGTTCCAAATGGTGATATTCGGTATTCGTATAGATCCGATCCAACACAACAAATGTACATTCATAAATAGTAACTGAAAAAAAAAAATCATGCAAAATAAAACATTACAATTGTACTTTCCAAAAGTTAAAATGAAAAATTTCAAATGTCACATTGAGCGTAGTAACTAACACAACTTTCTTATGTGTGTGGTTTGGGATATAAAATCTTAATGAGGGTTATATTTAATGTCAAAGCTATTGATACTTTCTAACTTGTTAATATCGATGCTTTTTAAAGTTTATTTACTACAACTAGACAAAAAAAGTGACTTATATTTGTACCAATTTTAATAATGAATATAGCGTAGGCCTATCAATTCTAAAATTTTTTGTATGGCTTAATTTTTTTCAAATTAAATGCAAAATGTGGACAAAATTTACTCATGTTGTAACGAAATACATCTTTAAACATATATAGAACAGGATTTTGAGAAGAAATCTTGACCTTTAGTCAAAAGTTGGCGTTTTTTATTTATTTCCTCAAATGAACTGCTTCTTTTATCACAACTTTATTCATTGATTTTACCATGTATCAATATGAATAAATTTTACAAAATTCAAATTTTGTCAGTATGAAGTAAATAATCATTCATAACATAGCTGTAAGTTCATGAATGAAAAACTTATATGTCTTTTTGTTTTCTTTACTACTCATTCATTCATTATTTTCATGTTCTTTTGTTTGATCAAAATTTTTAATTAAGTTTTTTTCATAATTCATTCGAAAATATCAACAATTGTTACCAGTTTCTCGCTATGGGAAAAAACAACCGGTCTCAAGAACAATTTGTCAACATTTAGCGTATTTGTAAATCAGAGTTGTGTTTTAAAACGATTCTTCTTGTGTGTAGCGCAGGTAATCCCCAGTATTAAATAACCCATTAGTAGTTATGTTACGGGCGTCATTACTTTTCGAACTACACATATCAGGTTAGTGGGAGCACTTTAGTCATCCATCACAAAATTTTATTATCAAATCAATGCCTCTTGATTTCCAACGCTTATTATCTCAAGGTGGTGTGGCATATGAATAACTAATGCTTGAGCGTTTGATACACTTGATGCATATGTAGTCCATCACTGACCACCTCCAACATATTTTGAAGTGCGTCCATTACCACCAGCAAAAATATGAAAAAAAAAAACTCATCAAAGCAATCAGCCATCATCAACAACGTCTCGAGCGTAACTATCTGCATAAACATCATCAGCCATCATCACTTTATCTGTAAGACCCACTGCGTTCGTTTGCCCGCGCGGCTAGTTAGTTCGCCCTCCCTCTGTAATCTATCGATTGGTGCTCTGAAATTGTTGCTTTCATGTCAATTCACTACTCATCTCGAAAATGTTTTACAAATTGCCTGTTGGGTCCAAGCGTCCAACACTATTACTGGTGTTGTTGTTATTGTTGTCGCTGTTTTTGTTATTTTTGATGCTGTCTCTTGATGAACTGTTTTAAAATATGGGGCAAATTGAATGTTGTTTTTTCGTGGTAATTGTTTTTCGTTTATTGGTCAAACGATGTTGTTGTTATTATTATTTTGTTTTTTTTCTTCTTCGGCGATGTGAAGTTTTTATAAAACCATTTGGTGAACTCTGCGATGAGATTTTTGGTGGAAATTCCAATTCTCATGGTGAGCTCAAAAAAGTCAAATGTTTCAAATTGTTTTGTATAAATTTACCGAACCGAGCTTGGCATAGCATCAGTATCAGTTGTTGTCTTCGTAGGCTTCGTTCCATTTCGAGTTCAAACCAATTAAGGCGGCAATCCATTAACACGAAATTGAGCTAAATTTTATTGCATTTTCGTTTTGATTGATTGCCTGGGAGGACTAATGATGAGGGCATTTATTTTGTATTCAGTTTTGATGGTGGCTGCTGTAATGGCACGTCCCGAGCCTCCAGTGACCTATCTGCCTAGCCAGCAGCACAACCAAAGAATTCTACCAGCAAATAGTAAGGGTTTTGTTTTCTAGTTCAAAGAATCGTATGTATCATTGTTTTGAATTTCATTTTAGGCCATCCAGCAAAACCTCATGTTTACCAACAATTGCCCAGTGACAATAGCTTCACCAGCTTTGCTGCTGCCACCCCAGTCACCAATGCCAATAAATTGCCAGCAGCTATGCCCTCCCAAGAAGATTCCTACAATGCAGCCTATCGTCATTCCATGTCAACTCAACATCAATCTGGTTATTCCAATGGTCCTATGGAAACCCAAGTCCACAAACATGTCTACGTTCATGTTCCACCCAAGGAATTCGAGGAAGAAGAGGCCATCCAGCCACGTGTAACACATCAAATGGGACCCAAACAGAAACATTACAAAATTGTATTCATCAAGGCTCCATCTGCACCGGTCATACGTGCTCCAATTGTTCCACCAACACCACAACACGAAGAAAAGACCCTCATCTATGTGTTGCACAAGAAGCCAGAGGCCCAAGCCGATATTGTCATACCAACTCCTGCACCCACCAAACCTTCGAAACCAGAAGTATTCTTCATCAAATATAAGACCAAGAAGGAAGAAGCTCCTGTCTATGGTCCACCACCCGGCACATATGCCAGTGAACCTCGTCAAGCTGCCGAAGCTTCAAACGAATACGTTTCGGTTGTTCCCAATGATAACGCTGACTTTCCTCACAATGTTGAAGAAGACAGCGAACCTCAGTACATGAACATTGAACAGACTCCCGAATCATATGTTGAGTCATCCATGACAGCTCGTTCCGATGAGGACGTTGTCGAACCTGAACAACAGTATTTGGCTCCCGAAATGAGTTCCACACCCATTGTTGTAGCTGAGGCCGAGGAACAGCCTCGTACTCCAGCAGCTACTTATGGCTCTCCTGCTCGTTACTTCATTAAGAGAAGAAAGTAAGCAGGAAGATGCTATGGTGCCATTGTGGACCTTCATAGGGCCACTTATTGTTATTTTATTATTAAGGACCTAGAAAATTGTTGTTACTCATATACCCATCAAACACGATTCCATATCTTCTTTTTTTTCATTTGTTGCAATAAATTGATTATAACGATTTTTTATCTAAAATTATGAAATTGTTTAATGAAGAGCGTAATTTTCACTTTTGGAAAAATAACAACAGATCTTTACTATAAATTTTCCCGTAAAAATTATTAAGTAACTTGTACTGGGAAAGCCCTTTTATACACGTACAAAATTGCTAATTATTATGGAACAACATTCACTAAAATCCAGAAAGAAAACAGCGGGTTTTCAAAGTAGATGCTCGCACTTGAAAAAAATTAAAATAACTGAATCATAGCTAAATATATTTCTATATCAGCCAATTCTTTTCAAATTTGAGGAGCATCCCATTTTGGGCTCCACGAAATATATGGCACATTACTTGATATTATTACCTTTTCAAAATACTAGAATTGCTCTGTTCCCGATCCTGCAGTTCTGGAACTAACCAAATATGTGTTAACATTTCGTTCGATGTATTGAAAATACTCGGTTTGTCCGGTTTAAAAGACGCATATCTCTGGATCCAGGAGAGATAAAAGCACAGATTGTATTATTTTGGAAAGGATGGAGTGTTAGGTGTAGTTTTTATTAAACTATAGTGAATTCAGAAGAGTGTCATTATATATTTACGAAATAAGTAAAAAAAATATAAAAAAGTAAAAAAAGTAAAAAAGTGGGCAAAAAGTAACACATACTCAAATTGAAGTGAACATACAAATACAAAGAGCTTAGAAAGTAAATAACACGAAAGAAATGTATGTTCATAAAATGAAAATCGGATCTGTCATAACTTGGAATGTCTATGCAATGGTAAAATTATATCTTAAAAATAGGCGTAAATATTAGAAGACCAAAAAATGTGTATAACATGAAAATAAACAAGTAAAAAAGCTGTAAGTTCGGCCGGGCCTAACTTTTAATACCCTCCACCATTCGGTACAAATTTGGCAATTTCCAAAAAATAAAATCCGTTAAAAATTCTGTTAAAATCTTAAAAATACCGAATGCTTATACGACGACGTGGGCCTGCATAGGCAACTTTTTTCATAAGTTATTACAATATTTAAAAGCGAAACTTGAAGAAAAATCTGTTTATAATGTAGCTAAAATCATCAAAATACCGAATATCGGGAGGTACCGTTATATGGGGGCTATATGATAACTTGGACCTACATGGCCCGTTTAAAAACTTAACCTTCCTACTGGCAAAATATACATGTGTGCAAAATTTTAGCCTTCTATCTCAATTTGTTCGAAAGATAGCGTGATTACAACAGACAGACGGACAGACAGACACATGACATGAGTATTTCGAGGAGTTACAAACGGAATGACAAAATTAATATACCCTCCATAGTATGGTGGAGGGTATAAAAACATGCAACATCAAATTATAATAAACAAGTAAAAAAGCAGCAATGTTCGGCCCGACCGAACTTTTAATACCCTCCACCATTTGGGAGGAAATTCCAAAAATTAAAAAAAAACAATTTTCCCAAAACTACCTCTAATATATTGGGGATATATGAAAACATGAATCTACATAGAAATTGTTTGTCAAATTTGAAACAGTTCCAGTGAATAATGTTGCTGAAATCATCAAAATATGGAATATAGGGAGGTACTTATATTTGGGGCCTATACGAAGACCTGGACCAAATTTGAAACAATGCCGTTGAATAATGTAGCTAAAATCATGAAAATACCGAATATCGGGAGATTCCGTTATATCGGGGCTATACGAAAACGTGGACTGACATGGCCCATGGCATGTATGCAAAATGTTAGCCTTCTATCTCAATTCGTTCGAAAGATAGCGTGATTACCACAGACGGACATCGCTAGATGATCTTAGAATTTTATGCTAATCCAGAATATATTGAGTAGGGTCTATTATCAATATTTCTAGGAGTTACAAATGGAATGAATGGTCATAATATATTCATTGGATCAAGCTTAAGTTGAACCTATCCATCGTAAAGACTGAGCTGAGACCTACCAGAGAATGTTGGTACTCATTACGAACTTCAAATAACAACTTAAGAAAATCCTTTGAAGAAAATGACTAAAATCATCCATATCAAATATCGGGAGATACCTGCGGTCTATACAGCAATATGGTTAGGTGTTTTATTTTTGTTTAATGGTCGAGGTCTTTTCGACTAAGTAATATAGTAATAAAAAATAAAATAATGGTTTGATAACTCGATATATAATAAGTATTTTTGCTGGGATGTTCATCCTCTAGAATTTGATTTCATGTTGATATTCATATTTGCAAGAGTTGTGAGTACTATAGGGACCGACCATTATAAACATCTTTGTACTATTCCAATATACACATCATAGTTCTAGCTCCAGTTTTGAGAGATATTTTCTATAAAGCAAATCGATTGTTTGAAAATATTAAGTGACAATTTGTGCGGGAGGCATGACTACAAGAAAGGATAGACTCGTATTGGCCAATATTGAAGTCGATCTTTGTCGTGCGAACCGGGCAGGTAGACTCACAGCAGACGCACCAAAATCGCTAGGTCGACTCCAAATGTCCTAAAATGAATTTCGTTCAAAATTACATGAGACGAACGTCGTTCTTGCCATGAGATAATTTTGGTTGCATAAATCTAAAACCGTAAGCCAGAGGGTAAAATAACAATTTTACTACAGATTTCACCATGTGTTCCTCACAAAAACCTCTTGATGACAAGTTGTTTGAACAGATACTTTCCTAGCGGTTTCCTATTTCATTAAATTATCTGGAAATTTAGAAATTCTCGTTCAGTGAATTCCTTTCGTTTTGCAAAATGAAAAATGTCCAAGGAAACGGATTTAACATAAATAATTTAATAGCATAAAAATTTATTTATTTTGTTTACTGGTTTTCTTCAGTCAACACAAATTCTACCGTGATGTAACAAACACAAATGCAACAGCTCCGAAGAAATGCAAAATAAACATCATTTATTATTTATGTAATTTATTATTCGGGCCAAGCAAGTGAACAAAAGTAAGCAGGGGTGCTGCTCATTTCAAGAGATATGGAATTTTCTTTCGCATCTATGGTGTGTTTAAAATGTACATCAAGTCGTCCTTTCGCTCAAGGACCAGCAGATAAACAATTAAAATAAATTGTATTTTGTATGAAAAATAATTGCTTAGCGTTTATTGACAGTCAAATATTAGGCATGCAAAGACAATAGGCGGCGCGATAAGGTGACAGTTATGCGCGATAAGTTAGAGAAGAAGCGGCAAAAATTTAAAATATAATTGCCCATACTTTCCTATCAATGTATATATATTCTGACAAGGAAGTGCAAAGTCAGATCGAGATGACCAATATGCTTCCATTTAAAATCGCTTTGTAATAAATTAAACATTTAAATAATTCGAAGCTCATCTAAACAAAAATTCTTTTGTTAATTTTCCAGACAACATACTGTAAATAAATGACTTTGATCATTCTGGCAATACATACGTCCTAAAAAAAGGACTTACAGTACGTTTGTAGTTGACCGAAGTAAGGCCAGTGGATTAGAATTGCCAGTTTCATGGCTTTAAAAACGGCCAAAACAACAAACGTTTTTAGTAATTGATTTGATTCTTAGATTCAATTTCTAACTGTAACTTAGTATTTATAAGTTGATAGTTCGAGGTCTCAACCGGAAAAAAGTATCCAACTATATGCTGTAGCTTTAATATAACACAAAATTATTAGTTGTTTTTAGGTCCTTAGAATATTTAAATCGATTTGACTTTACTTGGGTACCAAATGTGTAATATTTGACAAATATAACCAAATTGAAACAAGTGTGTCAAATTTTGTGGATTTCATCGGTTCAGATATAGCTATAGCTCCCAAATATATTCTTCACCCGATTTCTTAAATTTTTCTTCTACAGCCGTAATATGCCCTCAGTAACAACGATATTCGGTGAAATATATCAAATACAGCTCAGAAATACTCTCTTCAAATTTTATTGAGATCGGTTTAGATTTGGATATAGCTGCTATATGTATGTATCTTAACTTTACTATGAAGATTATTGTACACGAAATGGTTAATATAAGCCCAACATGAATGGACTTTGGCACATAAGAACGATTTTAGTCTGGAAACAATTTCTTGAAAATCGGTTAAGATATATATGTAGGTCTCATATATATGTTTCATGCGATTTTGTATTTTACTCTATCACATCCATAACATACTCTCCACAACAATGATATTTAGTGCAAACTATCAGATACACTAATACTAAATTTTGTAGATATCGGTTCTGATTTGGATTTGGCTCCCATATATATATTCATCTGATTTCATGTTTATTGTGCCTAAGAAGTGTAATATCAGCTCAAATAAGATGGGTTTTGATAGATGTCGGTTCAGACACAAATTTAGTAGAATAAGATAGAAGCCAACCATATACTAGTTACTTTCGTCTTTAAATTATAACTGCTTTAAAGCCATAATATGCTATGCTCTGTTTCTTTTAAATTTCCAATAAAAACTTTTATTTTTTATACTGTATATTAACTTTGTCATTCCGTTTGGAACTCATCGAAATAATAATCTTAGACCCTACAAAGTATATATATTCTTGATCAGCGTAAAATTCTAAGACGATTTAGCCCTGTCCGTCCGTCTGTCCGTCTGTTGTAATCACGGTACTGTCAAAACGAATTAAGATAGGAAGCAAAAATTTTGCACAGATCTGTCTTTTGTCTGCAGGCAGGTCAAGTTCGAAGATGGGCTATATCGGTTTAGTATATCGTATAGCCCCCATTTTTCAATGGAATTGACTGAAATTCCATACAAGGAGTCCCTTGTGAGTACTTAACCCCCTGAAAGAGACCTGTCTTTATAGGTCCACGATATGGTATATCCCCCATATAACGGTACCCCCTATATTCGGTATTTTTATGATTTTAACAGAAATTTTAATGGATTTATTTTTGGAAAATTTCCTAATTCGTTCCAAATGGTGGAGGGTATTAA